TGTCGATGAGAACAATTGAACAGTTGCGTTAGGCGTAGAAGCATTTTGCAGTGGAGTACAAACCGTCGAAGTTGATCAAGTTGCCGATACATCGGCCATGCACCACTCGTCAACCGTTTGTATCACCAGTGGATCCTAGAAAAAAAATGGCAGCAAACGATGAGGAACGTGCAAGTGACTTCAGGGGCTTCTTGCGTTTAGCGGTATCTTGTTCTACTGCCAACTTGAGGCATGACTTCTCACGCTGTTGACAAGCAAGTCGTTGCAGTTTGTGGGGTGCAAGGCGTGGGAGCGGGAGGTGTAGTGTGTGCAAGCAGGAGTGCAACGTACGCATTTGCCACTCCGCCACTCCGCCACTCCGCTAGTCCGCTCTACGATGCTACGAATCTAGGGGATAGGATTAGGGGGACCCTTGGGGATATAGACCCTCTGAATAAGGTCCCTGTTTAAGAGACCCTCTTATAAGAGGGGTTCCCCTTTAAGGGTCCCTCTTACCCTAAACCTTAACGAAGTGCTTGAAGTCGAAAGTTTCAAGAGAGCTGTCATGCACGATATCATCTCGGCTTGCAGTGCATTCTGTAGCATACTACATTCTGTTGGGTTTTCCGCTCTTTGAGAAATGATGAGTTCGCACCATACCAGGCGCCACCTGCAGCATCTTGGATCAAGGGGCTCTAGTGCTCCTCCCAATGCGGTCGCATCAAGTTGCGGTTGGAGTCTGAGAACTAAGGAAACACGTGCCTCCCATGCCAAAAGAGCAGCTGCCATCCTGTTTTATGTTGCCTAGAGTGCCCTATGCAGGTAACCGTCCATGGTGCAGCAAGCTCAGAGGGGGCTCAGAGAACGAGTGAGACCAAGGGCAACGGGAGGTATATTGGAGGTGCTCATCAACGGTATTCCTTGCCGAGGTACCTAAACTGCTGCCCGTGCAGCAGGTGAGACTGGTGTCTTCTGCATGCGAAAGCCTGTCCTGCTTATGGCACAAAGCTTCAAAGTTCGTGTGCAGGATGCTGAGAGTGGCTTTCCGCGATTGCTTCGTGGAGCCCGTAGCACGGAAAGGGCGGTGCTAAGCTAAGCCAACAACATAATAGCAATGTCGAAGAGACAAAGCTTAGTAAAATCATCCTGTGCAAAGGCGACTGCGCCCGAGGGCTCCTCCACACGCTCGCGGAGCCTTGAGGATGAGGCGCGACGGCGTCGAGTGTGCGTATGTGTGCGTCGTACATCATCGTACATCCCCACGAGTTCTCTCACACAGAATCCTTAAGCTTGTTGGCGCGGTGTCAGGAATTGATTTGCGAACCTGTGACCGTGAGCCACCTGAGAGTCTTGGCTGAAGCTCCGCCTTCCTCGTGTGTCAAGTTGTGGAAGTTGCACGTGTAATGCACGTACTCCCATGTCAGCGAGCTCCATGGAGCTTTCGCGATCGTTCTTACTTGCAAGATTTTTCAGATTTTGGCTCAACTGTTGTGTTTTTCCCGAGCTTTCGCTGGGGGTTCCTAATTTTCCGCAAACAGCTTACAGCTTTAGCTGTGGGGACTGTTGTCCACCAGTCGTTTCCCAACGGGCGATGGATGCTGTGACTGTCTAGTGGTGCTGTTGTCTCCCATCCGTTTCCTGCCTCTCTGGTTCACAGCAAAGCCATGTCAGCACCTTGTTCAGGGTACACTGCAGGGGGTCAGTAACTTAGGGGATACATAGAGTACGTAGACTCGGGTTCGGCCTGGTTCGTCGAACCTTCCAAATGCCCAAATGCGGGTTTGGCCAGCAAATCAGCCCCTTTTCCCCAGATTCCAAGCCTCCCCATAAAGTGGCCAATGGCCTGCTTAGTGAGGCAACATTTCGTTGTGGTCCACCTGAGCCTCCCTCCTGACATGTTAGTAATGCAAGATTTCGGTTCAGTTCCCCAAAAAAGGCCCTTTGGCCTGCACACCGGGCTTAGTGATGCACCGTTTCGGTACAGTTGCCCGCCTGCTGTCCTGAATGTTGTACTGCCTGAGAGCTGTCCCTGCTGTCCCTGAGCATGTCGCGTCGCATGATGAATCTCACTTTGGTCCCTGTTCGGTGGGGAATGACAGAAACACACCAGAGCGTGCGTGAAGGCGGTTGGGGATGTCACAGTTTGTTTGCTGGCCTTAGTCGATGCTATGCAGCAGGCTGGGCTTCCACAGCCTGGTTCCTTGGACTGCCATGTTCGACCCGCCAGTCCGTACCCGCATGAACATGACATGTCTATCTTTTGCTTGAATGCTAGCCTTACCCCTGTGGGTCAAGCTTCCGAATGAAACATGTGGTCACATCCAGCATTCCGCATGCATTCGCTGTCCCGGTTTTATCTCCGCCGTCTGTTTTCCGCCGGCACGTAGCGCATCGTAGCGCTTCTCAAGCATCCGACTGCACCTGGATCCTTGGCCAGCGTTTCAAAATGACTCATGCCGCGTTGCGTAGTCCTTAACCGCAGTTATGTTTAGCAGGGCGTAGCGGACTAGTGTTAGGCTGTGCACCCTGCAGTCTCTAGTGTAGGGCTTGGGCCCTTGCAGTTTCTAGTTCAGGGCTCGGGCTCCTGCAGTCTCCAGCCTGTTTGGACCCCCCCACGCAGGGTAAGCAATCGTTCCAGTTTTAACTTCCCTAGGCCCTAAGCGGGGCTTTTTCATTGAGTCAGGAACTGCGTGGTCTGAACTGCGAGGAGTTATAGATCTGAAGTCAACAAGAGATTAGATGGCTTTAAAGGTTGCAGGGGTTGGGGTTGGGCTTTGGGGACGGGGTGAGTGCGCGGTTGCCGTAGTGTGCCCTGATCTGGCCGTGGCTACTAGTCAAGGGGACACCCGCAACCTGAAACATTGTCTGGGCTTGGATGTCCTATAAGATGTTCGCTGCTGTCTCTCTTTGTGTTTAGTTCAAGGTTTTTAGGGTTCAGGAGTTTTTGAGGTTCAGGGTTCTTAGGGTTAAGGGTTTTTAGTTTTACAGGCTTCTGTACTTCGGGTTTGTGTGTTTTTTGGGTTTGTCGGTTTTTTCGGGTTTGGGCCGTTTATGGGTTAGGGGTTTTTGGGGTTTTGAGTTTTTTTTTGGGTTTAGGGTTTTAGGGTCTCCGTTCTTAAGGGATAGGGTGGGTTTCTGGGTCATTTTATGTATTTATTTATTGTTTGTTTTTATTGGGGGGGTTTGGGCTTATCATCAGTTTCCTTAGTCCGCAGTTTTCAGTGTCCCGAATCTGCAGTTTCCGAATCGCAGTTTCCATCCAGTTTCCTGAATCCGCGAATTTGCGTTGCCAGTTTCCGAATTGGGTGTTTGTAGTTTCTCGAATAGATGCTTTTGGTTTCCCGAATCTCCGTTTTCCATCGTCTTCATTTCAGTTTCCGCACGTTTCTAATCTGTTTCCGACGAGGTTCCTGAAGACGGTTTACTGGGGTCTCGGGGTTCAGCTACAAGAAGTTGAGAACATCCCCGCACATCGAAGCATCCTCACGTTCACAAGTAAATCACGGTTATGCTTTTTACCTTTGTAACAGTTCTTCTTATGCATGAACAATCATGAACACTTGTTGTTGCTTAAGAGTGGTTCTGAGTTGTCCTTTGTTGTTCTTATTACATCTTACAAGACGTTATTGTGCTGTCAATTTCTGGTCTTTTGTGATATTGCTTCTGCGAGTCTGCGACCAGCTCTGCAACTATGATTGGAGCGGGAAGAGCGCATCGGAATGAGAGTTGGGGTCGGAATGCGAACAGACGACGGCGTAGGAGAGCCAACGGTTGTGGTCATAGCCATCATCGTAGAATATTTGTTGTTGTGATGGTGCTGGCCGCTTCACAAGAACTACATCTGTTTTGTTTGCCAAGGCTCTGACTGCGGGGTTCATTCGGAACCACTGGAAGGACCAAATTCCTGGAGCAAGCTTGTCCTATTGACGGCTTATGGGGCGCAGGACTGCGACCAGAAACTTCTTCCCGCCCAAGCCAAATGCCGCTTTCCCCTTTGATACGGAGAAAAGGCCTCGTGACCAAGCAGGCCTGATATTCTGCGATCTTGGTGCGGATGCTTTCCTATGCTTTGCTTCGGAACAGGAGTTAGCCGCTGCGTCGCCACTGCTTCGGCCTCCTCGACTGCCAGTATCACGGAGTAGTTCCGCTATGGGCTCAGTTGTGGGGGACTTGGAACACGATCAGTGCCTGATAGTCCACTCAGGTTGAAACCGACAAGTCTTTCGACAGTCGACCGAAAGCTTCTCCGCGATCACCTTAGCACTCACGTTCATATGATCAATACTGCAGCATGTGCGCACCTTCAGAGATCTGTTTCCCCTTTGTTTCCTTGACTCATTTGCTCTCTCCTCCCTTCTTTTCCCTTTCTTGCTCCAGCCTTCTCGCTTTTACTTCCTTCACTCTTGGTCCAAAGGAGGCAATAGCAGTGTGAATCATTCGAAGCACAAAGCCAGTAGACCTCGTCTGGTGTTTAAAGCTCCAAGGTCTGCAAACAAAGAAGCCGTGCGTAAGAATGCGTAAGGATCGCGCCAACGTGCATTTCCTGTCGTTATCCGGGTGTATCTAATGCTGGAGAGTTTGGAAATGCTCACATTCGCCCCGTAAACCGTGACATCATCTGGCACATACACTGAGCCCGAAATAGCCATGCTGGAGGACCGAAAGCCAGCTGCGATTGAGGGCGGCACCAAAAATGAGACAATGTCAGCAATGCAACATCAGCATGCCAACATCCACTTCGATCACCCACTCCAACCGTCCCACCCGATGAACAGACTGCACCTGTGTTTTCTTGGGCCTACTCGATGCAAGAGTGGTGCAGGTGAGATCCCAAATTTCCAATGAACTAGCCTTCCCAACGGCACCCTGCTGTTGCTTTCTACGCTCCGAATCATTACTCTCTGCGACCGCATCATTTTCGCCCAGGTCTGTATCTCCGCGATCGCCAGGTGGCGATGCCCAGACTGGCAGTCATCGTCGCGGAAAACGCGTTAGTCATGGCATCCATGCTTGCAGTTGCAATGCCACAATTTGTAAACTGTCCATGGGAAGGTACTCAGCCGAATTCAGCAAGTGGTGTGGGGCTCAGAGCTGCTATTCAGTGTGTTGGATTTGGCCGGGTTCGTTCTTCTACTCCAGAATGTCTCAAACTTTTCAAGTCGTCAAGAGTGATTCACATGCAAAGCCGGGCTGTTGTGTAACTAGCTTGTCGTGGCTCAGATGGAAGCCAGGCCTGTAGCCGGAGGGCAAGACCAGGGACTTTAGTGGCGCTCTCCTTTAAACGAATCTGGGACCTTGTTTACAGAGATTTACCGCGGGACCCCCAAACAGAGCCTCACTTGAGCTACTTACGAGACTGTCAAAGCAACATGAACTAAGGCACACATCACAAGCAGGCAGCCAGCGCAACCCTTCTTTTTCGTTGCAAAGGACTCCTGCGAGAGTAAAACAATTCAGGACAAGTAAAACAGAAGAATCCCGTTACAGATTCAACTCGGTTTTTGTATTTTACGTTGCCACGGCGTCTTTTTTACCCGCGCATTGCTGAGGCACGGATGATGAAAAATCTCCCTGCCCGAGCATCTCTGCTAGCAGTGTCGACACCACGAGAACCCATCCACGTGTTCAGCTCAGGGGTGTGCGCCTTTTTTGTCATTTTTTTGGACGTGGTGACTTGGCGAGTGCGTGCTTGGAAGGTGCAGTTGACCTGATCGTCGAGGAAGCGGACGAAGACATTAATCGGCCATGGGGCACCGTGGAGCGGACGTTCAAAGCCTTCTGCGGAACCAAGCCAGGCACAATCGTCCGCCTTGCCGCAAGTTATCGCAAGTTTCGCAGTCAGGAGGTAGACGAGGTTATGAGAGTCGCGTGTGGTTTGCCATGAGTGTATCTGCTGGAAGTTGGCTGGTTTGTGCGTGCAGGCATGGATGGCAAATCATTTGCGAAGCTTTGCAAGGACCTGGGCAACGCAAACAGTCGTTGCTAAGATGCCCGCTGAAGGTGCGTTTCGAATCATTGGATAGTTCGGGCTGTGAAGCAGGATTCCTCCTTGCTGGACAAGAACCTCACCAAGACAGATGTTGACATTATCTTTGCAAAAGCATGCAAGACTCTTGGTTGGCAGAAGCGTGTGCTGCCGGGTCAGCCTTACCAGACAATTGTGAATTTGAACCCCCCACGAAAGTCATGGGAACGAATCAGGAGTCGTGGCACGGTGTGACGGTTTAGAGTGATTCAGAGTGCAGGGGTTTAGTATGTTTTGGTCCTTTGCTTTCCAGATTCGTACCATGGTCTGGATACCGCAATTCGGTGCGTGGCTCTGGCTTTCCGACTCACTGAGTAGGTTCTCTTTGTAGCTTGCAGAAGCGCCGGAGGCTTGGAGGCTTGGAGTTGGCAGGGCGTTTTGTCTTCAAGGGTTCGGGGGTGACGGTGGCAGGCATGCCAGTACATCGCTGTTTGGGCTTGGACACGAACCGAACAACCACTATCCAGTTCGCATTTTTTGCAGCAGAGAAAAGCAGGAAAGGGCATCGTCGGATCGGGCTGGAGCAGTTCGATGCTGCCCTGGAGATGATCGCAGAGAAGAAGACTTTGACGCTCGAAGAGGTGTGGCGCGCAGTCAGGCACGCCGGAAGTGTTACGTCGTGCTTCCCACTTTTTTTGGTGATGCCAAGTCGTACTGAAGGTGTTGTGGTGGGCCCGTCCTCAACAGCACGAAAGCAGAAACAGTGCGGTTCTATGATGACAAGAGCCTCTACACTGGCACCCATGCGCAGGGAGGGCCTGATCCCGGTCGAAAGGGCAAGGGCACACTGACTCGTCCTCAGTCTGCTCTGAATTGCGCATAGGTGACATGTGACATTGTGTGTGTGTGACATTGTATGTGACATTGTGTGTGTGTGTGTGAGATTGTGTGTGACATTGTGTGTGTGAGATTGTGTGTGAGATTGTGTGTGAGATTGTGTGACATGTGGCGCTGTTGATTGCTGTTGTGATATGTCGTGATTCTGCGGATGCCAACCAGGACATGGACTACAGCTCTACGTGACGAGCCGACGCAAGCGAACTCCACGCCGGTGCATCTGCCAAACTCTCCAAGGGATCCTGAGTACTTCCCGCCGTTGGAGCTGGAAAAACCTGAGAAACGACCTCGATCCGTCAGCTTAAGCGAGAAAAAGATTTCCCAGCAGCTGAGAGGCAAGGATGGCACGGTGGAGGTGTTGGATTGCCAATATTGCCACGTTGTATGCACATGTGCAGCACACTAGACACTGCCGACTGCTTCCACCCTGGCAGGACACGTTCAAGGCATACTGTGCCAACAAGCCTGACATGGATGGGAAGGGCTTCGTGAAGTTATGCAAAGACTGTGAGCTGGTGGACGACAGCTTGACCTTGATTGACGCCGATCTGATCTTTGCCAAGGTAGTGTCCAGAGGACACCGGCGGATCATCCTGCGTCAGTTTAAAGAAGCTCTCCGGCTGATTGCTGAGAGAAAGGGCATGGATGAAGATGAAATTTGTCAGCGCGTCGCCGAGTCAGAAGGGGTGGTCCATGAGGGAACCACTGCAAACTACGTGCGCTTCTTCGATGACAAGAGCACATACACGGGCACTCATGTCTATGGAGGCCGCATTCGCCACATGTGCTACAGCGCCACAGTAGTACCGAGATGTTGCTTTGCATGCTCTAGGGCATTAGTGGGTTGTGCGTTTGGTCAGGATTGAAGAGGTACTAGGAGCTCAATTGCAAATCCACAGTCGCTTCTGAAATCTTCTGTGTTCTTCTGAGTTCTTCTGACTTCTTCTGAATTCTGAGAACCTGAGAGGTCCGGACAGCAGTGCCAGAACTAGCACCGACCAGTTCTGGAGCTCGATGCTGCGTCCTGATGAGGAGGACAGGCTCCCAGCACCTCGGCATCCTTAGAGTTCTCGTTTTTAGTTTGAGTCATGTTTGAGTCATTTGAATATTGCAAAGGTTGAGCTAAGTTTCCGATTTTGTTTGCAACAGATCTGCTGGAGCATCTTTTCCTTCAGGACATGGTGGTGACCAAGATATGTGAGACTAGTCCGCAAGGCCACGCGGACTGCTGGGGTTTCTCTGCATGCCTGGTTCAGATTAGCTTTGGACCTTGATTCTTGAAATCTAAATTACCGTACATTACAGTCATGGTGCCTTGTTGTTCTCATCATGTCGGCTAAGGCGTCTAACTCTAGCGTATACCATGTCTGCGGGAATATGAAGTCCTTCGAAGTCAGAGTGCGTCAGGAAGCAAAGCTAAAGCGACTCCGGCGCAGCCCAAGGCCTGGTCTCAGCACACAACTTTATGCATCTTTCTTACCCATCTTCTTTCTTCTTTATTCATTCTTCATTGCATTTTCCTTCACCTTCATTCTTCTCAAATCTGAGTCTGAGCATTGTCGAGTCCCCGTTTGAGTCCGTTTTAGGCAAAGCCGCGTGCGCGGCTGGCGATCACTGCCAAGAGCAAACCGCCGACTGGGGACAGCAACGACTTTACCATGGTCTTCACCGATGTGCAAGGCTTTCTGGGTTTGGACCTTTTGCAACAAGTAGCACACAAGTAGCACAGGAGCAGTGGGCCGTGGCTTGCTTTGAGACTTTGCATCCTCACGATGTGTTCGTCTATGTTGGAACGACAAGTCGGACTAGTGCGGCTACAGTTCCCCTCCGTGTCCTCAATCTCAAACTCGCAGGAATTCTAAAACAGTAAGAGCACGCGAAATGGAAAATATGTCATCGGGGAACCTTAACGTGGTTTATGAACAAATGAAATTGCTGAAGCGAATTGAATCCGCAGTGCATGGCCATGCGCACGTTAGCTTAGAGCTGGGTGGGAGGCTCTTTCAGTGTGTTTGATTCGGTTTTTTTTAGCTCATTTTAGCTCATTCAACCCTAGCCATCTTTACATCCGCCCTTTTGATCTCGGGCTGGACGCATCCTGCGTGGCCAGGTCTCGTAGACACGGTGGTTTTTAGCCGTGCCGGGGTTTGTTCGGGCATTTTCACAAGTAACATCGTCCACGTTTGTGTGCAGCCAGTCCGCATACATGGAGCTATCGTACCAACATTGAAGACAAAGCTGATGCTTCGATGGATACAGCGAAAGGGGAGCTGAAAGGAGGAGGGGGCGGGGTGGGGAGGGGCGGGTGCTGGGTGGAGGGGGGGGTTGGGGGGGGTGTATTGGGGAGCGGCAAACGATGCCAAAACGCTGGTTTTCCGCAACTACAGCTGGACGCGCGCCACTCGCGGACGCTTTCGAACGCTTTCGAACGCTTTCGAACGCTTTCGAAGACAAAACGCACGATGTGTATCTCCACATGGGGAACCCTATCTCTACCCTTTTGCTACGCAATCGGATCAAATCTGGCTTGGATTCCGGTTTTCGGTTCTTCTTCGGTGCGCGGTTGTTGCTGTTCATGTGTGCAAGCCGGTTTTGGGCTCAGGACGTTCTGAACCCAAGCCACATCCGGGCTTTTTCGATCCACAGCGCGTTTGTTTCTCATACGGAGAACAGGGGGTTGCTTGCCATGCCTGTCTGTGACCGTTGTCCCGATAGTGGCTCAAGAACCAACGTGGTACCTGCTCGAATAGAATCCCGCTTGTGTAATGCGAGCCAATTGCCATAGCCATACCTGGATTGCTGATCAAACTACTGGAAGAAAAGATGGAAAAGGATTGGGTGGTGTGCTGACGCGCGAGTTCAACTGAGGGAGCTTAACATATCCGGTAGCATTTGAACCTCACGCAGGTGATTAGCCGTATCCCCTTGCCGGGCTTCATGTTTGCTGGCCGGTTGTTGCAGTTCGGTTCCTGGCAATTCCAGGCATCATCAGAGAGTTTTGCGTTGTGAGGCTCCACGTCACTGTGGGAAGCCAACCCTCGTGCGATGGAATGTGCCTTGCGGCTTCATGATGCAACCATCAGACAAGTTCTCTTCAAGCATAGCGGATACGAGGCTGGCGCTTTGCAAGTTAGCGTTTCCGCTTTGCCGGTGATGTGTAGAATCGTGTAGAAGACCGTGGCATGCAGGTGACCACTGAGGGCGATGCGTTTCAGATAGCTTTCCATGACACCGAAGACGCAGTGGCCTTCTGCTTGGACACACAGAGGGAACTCTTGCAATGCGATTGGCCGAGTGCTACGCTTTCGCATCCCGATGCGGCTGCCCCTGACCCAGTTGGCCGCATTTCGATGTGCCCGAAAGTGTCGGTGTCAACGTACGTTGTTCGTTGGGACTCCAAGACAGTCCAAGGTCAGCAGTGACGGAGCTTGGCGCGGATTGCGCGTGCGCATGGGTCTGCACTCCGGCCGTCCAACCTCCGTGACGAAGCACGAGGAAGGATGCTGTTTGAAGTCACCGCTGCTTCATGAGCTGTGTAGACTTGAAGAAGATGTCCCAGAATGTCGGGTAGTTTGGTTTTGGATGTCCGCTTACGCAAAATTAAGAAAGTCTTCAGCAGGCCATGTCCCCCTTCAGGTCACTGGACGATGGAGATATGCAGGGCCATCGGTTGCAATGGCCAAGGCGATAGAGGCACGACGACGGTGAGCAAATTCGGAAGTATCGTAAGTTCAACTTGTGGGGTTCCGGACTTGTGAGATTTGCATGTGTGATATGCAATGATCTACATATACATTCATACTTATGTATTGTCTTGTGATATTCCTGTCGGTTGACTTGTGATATTCTCGGTTTCTGCTTTTTGCCTGCCAGGGTGTTTGTCATGGTGGGCAGATCATTTTGTCCGCCAGCAGCTTCTACCTCATTGATGGTTTGCTGACTTCGCTTGGAAGTCCGCAGGCCGGCTTGGAAGAGTCTGTTGGGATAAGGCCGATGGGACTGGACTTTTCAAGCTTCGCAGATGTGTTGGAAGCACCTGCTTGGTGCATATTGCGCACACGATCCCCCAGAGAACACCACAGAGAATGCCGCCGAGTGTCCCTGGAGTGCTCGAGACCCACCGAGTATCCCAACCCCGCAGAACGCCATACAGGCCCTCAGTAAACCAGTACTTGGACATGCATCAACTTACATAGATTGTCGCTAAGCAAGGACCCGAGACCGGAAGCAAAACAGCTTTTTGACCTCTACAGTTGCCGACACGACTGATACCGTCCAAGATACGCACCTGGCCCCACTCCTCATAGTCGTGACCCCCGTAGTTCCAGTGCAGCACCTGCACTAAGAACCGGGGACCTTAAGAACTGCTGGCGTGTCAGTATACCTCTTGCCATCTGAGATCCCACAAGAAGTTACCTGATGTTCCCTGTTACATCCCTGGTGCTTTGTTTCGGGATCCTGTTGAGCTGGTGGTCTCCAATACACTGAACTGAAGCGACAGTTTGTGCAGTTTGTGAAGGCTTTCTCAGCGAGAGTTCAGTTGTCAAAACGAAACACGCAAATTCTGCGAGGTTGTTGACTTGGGAGATCACATATTGGAAGGGCATGGTCTCACGGAAGACTCTTCCCGAACTGGATGTTCTGGCCGTGCCAGAATGCAGCTAATTCAACTTGTGCCCAACAGACTTGCCCACGACTGGTCTGGCAACCTGACAGCAGACTAAGATAGGTGCGGTGTTTTCATGATTGTAGTGTGTGGAGTTGTAGAGAACCCGTTCGAGTGAAGGTGAGGAGCCAGATGAGGGCCGCAAGTTTCCTCCAGTGATCAGCGAGCAGCGTGTATCCCCGGGATTTGAGGAATCTCCTGCTGGGCTTCTTGGCTTCAACTGTTGGACATGGTTCCAAGATGTTCCAATATGTCCCGATCGCAAATCATTGATGGCCTTGCTTACTCATCTTACTCTTCAGCTTCCAACGCGTCTTTCCCAGGACTTCTATCACGCTTTGCTTCGTTTTCACCCAGGGTGCCCGCGAGTTGGTTGCGACTGCCCCAGGGCTGGCCGTGCAGTCGCTTGGGCTGCTGTGCGAACCTAAGATCCGCTGCGACAGCATTTTCATGTCGCTCGGGAGCTGCTCATCTGACACGGGATGCTTAAGCATCTTGTTGCTGTTCATTGCTGCCAAGGCGTGGATATTTGCGCGAAGTTCTGCGTCATGCCGGAGATGGTAGTGGCTATGAATGCCAGGAGGATGAGGGCGCTTTCATGTCCCTTGACTGACGATCGGAAGTCTTCCTGATTGTTGATTTGATTTATACCGCCGCCATTTTGTTGAAAGATCTTGAACCTTCCGTCTTCATTCCTCTGCTGCTTCTGTCTGCGAATGCGGGCCCGGCAGTCCGTCCTGTCCAACTCAGAATGCTCAAAAGAAGCAAGAACCCTTCAAGAAATTGTTTGGCGAAAACTGCGAATTCCTTCTGGAACATGCAACATTGGCACTGCACCCCCCGGGCATCACCGGGACCCAGGCACCACCTCTCCCTGACCAGGGGGCCCACCACGGACCGGCGCCGCGCCGAGCACGGGCCGGGCACCACCCGGGCGCAGCAGATCCCTTGTTAAAAATGTTTCATCTGTGCAGAGCTTTGAAATGTAAGCGCGGTCTTGTTTCAGAATTCCGGTTTAAGCTCTCAGCGCCGAGCCTTTGGATTCCTCTTCACCGGACCCCGTGTATCCTTGGCTCCCTGGTTTAGAACATGCGCCGGGCCCTAAATACCTATTCGATTTGCATACTTATATGCCACGACTCGCCGGACTTGCCGACACGCATCTGGTTTTTCCAGTACCATGAAACCTGCAGCAACCAGCTCGGGAAAACTTGTCGTCCAGACCGGATGAAAACAAGCAGTTCCTGCAAAAAAGACACATCCCACTGCTTTGTCGGACAATGGGACATTGAGGAGTAGTTTGGGTGTTCTTGTTTTGGGTCGAATCTTCGGACTCCGCTACCCTTGTGCCTGCTCCGTTGTCAGGAATTTGGGAGTCACTGTGTTTTGAGGCCTGCTTTTCCGAATTTTTTCACAGGCTTCGCCTGACGTCAATGTTTGCCGTTGTCTTCCAAATCCGAAGGTTGGCTTTCAGTAGCATGCTGGATGCTGCGGTCTTCTCAGTACTTCTGCAGCGGAAGTTGCCACTGCTGCCGTGGCCTGATGAGTTGCGACAGCGAGGACGGCTTGGACGCATTTTTCTCAGATCAAGAGCATGCAAGAGCTTTGGAGTTTTAGCCAGTGACCTGCGGGACGCTCTTATGCGAACTCTTGCATTCCGATTGAACATCCTCATAAAGAATCTAAAGGCCTTGCACGAACAGAAGGCTCCAATACTCAGTGCCATGCTCAACAGTTAGAGTCTTTAAGCGGTTTGTACATGTCCTGCATAAAGGCAGCATGGGAAACCTCAGGCTTCGAAGCAAAAGCAGCCCGACAAGTCAACAGTTCGAACCCGTCAAACACGACACTTCGGCCAAGACGTCGCGGATCTGACAGGGCTCTGAAGTTCTTCATATCGCGGTCTTGACGTTGCGCCGCACACGTGACGCTTGCTCTGGTACTCAAAGCATGGCTTCCACTGGGAACTTTTGAGCATCTTTGAGCCTCCCAGAATGACAGGAACTAAGTACATGCCTCTCGATGACTCACCACCGCGAGACAACGTCAAGACATCAGTCAATTGGTCCAGATTTTGGCAGGGTGTGCCGTGCAAATTCGCTGGTGCTGCTTTGCTTTGTAGAGTGGATCAGAGCGGCTACTGTCCAGGACCAAATCATGCTCATGGTCTACGAGTGTCAATAGGAGAAGCTTGACATCATCCTCAGCAGTGTTGCAGGTCTTGCGTGAGCAAATGTGAGCATTGCTGTTTGCCGAGGCCCTAAGTGGTGCTTACACATCTAGGAGACCGCATGCCTCGACAGGGCGGGCCACTTTGTAGCATTTGCAGTTCCTGCAGGGTTCGCTCACGGTTCTTACAACCTCGGATTTGGCATGTTTATCAGTTGCCTCCATCATATAAGTAGGGTCGGCTGTCTAGAGTTATCTAGGTCCTGCAGTATTTTTGAGCCTCGTGAGTGTTTTTTTTTCTTCTGTCGTTTGAAAGGTTTGCAAATGTTTGCCACCATTAGCTCAGGCAGACTATTTTGGCACTATCGTGAATCGTACTGCTCGCATAGCAGCTGCCGCACATCCAGGGCAGGCGGCCAGTGCGACGGGTCGTCATGACAGCGGTGGGAATGTGAAGTGTCAGGAAATTGTTGGAGAATCACTCTACGAGCAGGTTCTGCTGGGCGGGGAGATGCCGCTCGATGCTGCTGCATTGAAGCGATTGCCTGGGGTTCAGTGGCAGCAACCGCCGGCCCTGCCAGGCCAGGCCTAAATGTTTTAGCGCAAAGCTAAGCAAGTACACAAAGTTTGGGTTTCGACGAGATCGCGTCATAAAGCAGAATGCGCTGGTTCTCTAAAAGACATGCGGGCGGCATTCGGGCTGCCACCGAACACACGGGCAATTCGGGAGCATTTGCCTGCCTTGACAATTGTGCGGCAGTGCGTGACAGCTCTTCCCTGAAAGGTTATCCTCAGATGATTCCGCAGCCAATCCCTCAAGTCGTTCCAGGGCCGCTGCCGACATACATGCCAGGAACTTAGATGAGGTTTCTCCTTTTCTCCTTGAATATTTCATTATTTCGTAGAAGGCCTGGCGGGGGTAGACTATTGTATTGTATGGCCCATTACTTGCATGCTCGGCACACTGTGGCGCAGTGCGCGACTTAGGTCTGCCGGCCAGCCAGTCGCCATGCCCTGTATCCCAGGGCAGCTTTACCAGCCGATGCCGCAAGTGTCAGGTGAAGGTGCGAACCTGTGCGTGCAGTTGAACATGTCAACTCTTGGTCCTGCTTTCCTTTGCGTTCAGCATTGCCCTCCCTGAGGATGGTCGCTTCCACGATTGGGTGCCTTCGCGCTGAAGGCACCAAGCGACCGAGCGCGATCAAAGCTTGAGAGCTTTCTCGTCTTGTCTTAAGTTTAGCATGGAGTTGACTTCTGTGGATGATAAGTTGTGACTTTGACAGCTTTGGCACAGCTCCATCAGGGCATTGACAGCCCCATTGTCTTGAACGAGCTGCGCCTGTTTGACGATAGAGGCCGGGTGCTGGGCAACCGCGTTTTTGCTGCTCTTGATAGTCTGCATTAGTCTGCCCAGGATTCAGCGAGACATTCCCCGAACCGAAGACTAAAGGACGCGTGTCGAACTGAGGATGAATTTTCTGCAAGCTGGTTCTAGCACAGAAGCTCTTACATAATAGCTTCTGAAGTGCTTCTGACCTCCAGTGTTCCTTGTTTGATAAATGCTGATGCTAGAGCTCTTCAGTGTTACTGTGGCCACAAATTCATGGCTAGCACTGATGCGCAGCAGCTTGCCATCTGGCAGCGTGTACAGACGTAGCTTGACTCGGTTGCGTGGATTCTGCGGCAAGCCCGGCAAGCTGGTAGCTTCTGTAAGCTGAGTGCTGCATGTAGTAAAACTGCGGTACATTCCCATGGCCTTTGACAAGTAGACTTGTTGCAGGTCTTGCGCAGAAGGTCCCATATGCTTGCGTGAATGTGCTTCACAATTCATTTTAGCTTTCACGGGCAATGGATGTCTCCCGAAACCGGGATTTTGATGTCCACCTGCCGGGACACATCTTTTCACGTGTAACAAACCCACCACGCAGCTTCAAGGGCAAGTGCGGTGAGAGATCACAAGGGTCCCTGGCCGTGTCTCAAGAGCCTAATATAAAGCAAGCTCTCGCAAAGTTCATCAGCCGAGCAAATCCGAGCAATGTTAAGCGAAGCCAGTGCTTGCTTGCCTGGGCATGCACCACAATGGAGGTCGCGGCCTGATCGCCACAAGGTCAAGAGACTTGGAGCTTCTTTTTCCGTGCCGCACGAGACGGCATATGAGAACTTGTGCCTTGAAAGGCATCTCCTTCGGATGCGGTGGCTGGAGTAATGATTCATGATAGAAACGTGATGCATTTTGTGCATTCATGGCCCTGCTTCGCTCTAACTTGGAGAATGTATCGGTTCAGACCGGACAGCCACCTGCTACAGGATAGGCAGTGCTTCAGCTGCGGCAGATATGGGGTTATGGGGGGTGCCTAGCCACGTGATAGTTATAGCACTGTGTGGTGGTTTGCTGGCCAGGCACGTCTTTAGCTCCATGGCACGATTGTCCGAGTGCTGCAGTCGTGGCTAGGGCAAGGATTGCCTTGTCACTTGCAAAGCGTGGCGCTGTGCAGGCACGTGGAGATTCGGACCTGCCTAGTTGCCGATGCAAGACAGCTGCAGCGGCAGTAGCAAATGCCCGGTGTGTTGCAGCATACGCGGGGATAGTGCGCACACTCAAGGTGAAGCGCAATTGTGGCTGCCACAGCGACCGGAGACCAGCGATGGAAACAAAAAGCATGTGAATGGATGTCGTTGGGGGTTGCGGGTCAGGAGCTGTGCTTCATTGTGCTGCATATAAGCTTCAAGCTATTTCGAACTTTAAATAGGATCAGGCAGAGACACGATCAGGCAGAGACACGATCTGCATGCTACTGTACATTCTTGGCGGGACATAGAAATCTTTTGAAATCTCTTCTGCCAGTTTCAAAAACGTGTTGAGTGTTTTTCCCGAAGGCGTGGCGAGGGCTTTTCAACGGATGTGGTCTTCGGGAATTTATCGTTGATGCATGGATGGATGTCGAGAGGTCGTGCTTTAAAGCGCGGGGTACTGCAGGTTTTGCCGGACCCGCCGCACCTCCTCAACATTGCGCTGGCGTGGGGCATCCGCGAAATTCTGGCGCGAACGACAACCCTCTCGGTGCTCGCGGGGTGTCGTGGCGCTGACGTGTGGGGTGTCATCGAATTCTGGGCGCGAACGACACCCTCTCGGTGGCAGCAGGGTGTCGCAGTGCTGGCATGTGGTCCTCGAAATTCGGGCACGGGGTAGGGTTTGCGGGACCCATGTGCAATTTGGATTTACTCAGTTGTCGCGCGGGTGATTAATAGAATTACGTTGCCATACTCGTAAGTGTCGTCACTTTTGCACGTTTTGGTTAGCGAAATGCAAAAATGTCGACTTGGACTTGGTCGACTACGCGAAGGGGTGTAGGTGTGTGCAAGGTGGCATCGTTCCGCTCTTCTCTACGCAAGCTCAGCGACCCAGCTCGTTCCTATACAGTCTTTTGTGACAGCGAGGCCGCCGTCAATATCTGTAAGATGGAGGGGTTGAGGAAGCTGAGGCACGTAGGCGTGCTTTGTCGAGCACGAGCGTCATAGTCAAACCAAGCCGAGGGAAGGACAACGGCAGATATTTTCACCAAGAATCTTGACGGCCCAACAACATCAACAACATTGCGTCACATGACCAGGCTAGGACTCCAGGAAGTTCTGCTCGCCAGTGAAAAGGGTTTTGCTGTGGGTCTTTTGTGGGTGTTGTGTCGAAGGGCGAATGGGTGTCTTTGACGGAGAGGGCCCAAATCGACGTTGCAAGGTCGCGAGGGAGGGGTTTCCGAGGGTCGACGGTCTTTCTTTGGGCATCAGGCCTTGCGCCGGGGGCTGTCCTTACCACAGCTGCATCCCCAACGGTAGGAAGTCAATGCCAGAAGCATCTCAACCGTCGGAAGCTCTGGAAAGGGTTGACCGAGCTGACGTGCTATGTCCATGGATGGAACGTCGAGTGGCCACAACGGTGCGCGTGCTGGAGCTGGAAACAGCTGACGTGCTTCCTAGGGAGGCAAGCCGCCGAGCTCCCTGCTCTGGGGAGCGACGGGGAGCTTGTGCCAAAACGTTGGAAGGTTGTGACCACGCCGGACTTGCAGAGGGTTTAATGCGCTCTGGAGTATGTGGAAAAGATTGCAGCAGTACTCGAAAGTCGACTTTGGGAGAACGTAGTACGCGGAGAATGTTTGGAGTTCCAGGTCCAGACCAAGAAGCTCTTCATGCATGTGGTTGGCAGAACTTAGAAGAAACTCAACAGTCAGCAATTGAAAATTGATAAAATGCAATGTAATCATGATTCAGCAATGATTTTCCGGTATGATTTGGATGAAGAAAAGACAACAAGGGGTGCGCGGGGAAAATGTGTCATGGGACGACTTCGCGCTTAGCACCTGATGACTTGCAAAGCGTCGATGCGTCGCTGCGTCAGTTTTCAACCCTTTTGTCCACGAGCCAGGCAAGTTAGGGCAATTTGACTGCCTGGAGGCCACACGAGTCGTTCACGGGCCCAGCTCACTGGCCCCGGTGCCATGCCTTGGACTTGCGCTTGTGCCTCCCCTGCTGCCACTGCCGCCGCTGCATAATGTTGCGGCCGTCCATGGGAGCTGGGTGGCGCCCCGCGCTCCACGTCCTGCAGTCAGGGCTGGCTCCCGAAGTTCAAGCTCGAGCAGCCGAGCCCCGCCCTATCCTTCGCCGATGCACCGCCAGTCGACGGCCATGAGGCGCGCCACCCTTTCGGTACAGGGAGCCGACAGCTCCGGCACGCCTTCGCCAGTCTTGATGACGCTTCTGCCGTGCCGCGCCCGCCTTGCCACGTTTTCCGGACGCCGCCGCCCTTTGTCAAGGGGCTGTTCCGGCAAGCGTCAGGGCAAACGTCCGGGGCGGAACGCACTGCCACGGAGCACCGCGGAGCTGCCCGCATGCCGCGCGGACGCCGTGCGTACACACGGCATCATACGGCGGACACGCGCACGGACGCAGCGACGCGCAGACGCAATGGATTGCTCGGATCCGCGGAAGTGCGAACGTGCGGACGTGTGGACGTGCGGACGCATGGACACGCAGACGCGCGGACACGTGGACCGGCCAGCGGATGCATGGACCTGCGGACGTTTAGTAGAGCTCTACACCGTTACCTAGTTGGGATGTTGGCCTGGCTGGTCCTGAGTCCTGAGTAGGGGGACGGGGCGGTGGATGGGCTCACCCGCGTCTTCCGCCTGCGGTTCCCTGGGCGTCAATGCTACCATGCTGGTGGTGAGCCAATTTTGATTTTGAGAGCCCTTTCCTGCTTTCAGAACGGCACTATACTTGGGGTGTTTCCTACCCGTGAATGCATTGGTGTTGCTATGCAGCCATGTCTGGCCTAGACATGTTTGTTTGTTCTCCACATGTTTGTGTGGGGTTCTTACTTTTGGGGCTGTCCCGCCACCTCCTCCTCCGCGTCCTCCACCGCCTCCTCCTCCTCCTCCTCCTCCCGCCGCCTCCTCCTCCTCCTCCTCCTCCTCCTTCCGCCGCCTCCTCCATCTCCTCCCTCCCCCGCCTACTCTACACACTTCCTCCTACTCAGTCCTACTCCACACACCATGCACACACTCTGACATCATTCACGAACTCAATGCACACCATGCTCCTCACCACACAGCACCATGACAGCATTCCTCCCTCCATCATTCTTTCACGAACTCACCACACACCATGCTCTGACTCCACACGCCATGCACACACTCTGACATCGTTCACCGTCTATCTCACCACACACATCCACACACCATGACATCCACCATGACATTCCCCCCTTTTCCGACATTTCCTCCTACTCCACACACCATGCACACATTCTGACATCATTCACTAACTCACCACACCAGGACAGCACCACACAGGTGTCGTTTGTGCTGGCAGGCGCATCGAACCCTTTACTTTTGTGAACGCACGCTGCTGCCTTCCCTGTCGCCATCCGCTCGCGCCCTCCTCCTGTGACCACGCCCTCGCCTGCACTCACACGGGTTTGATAGCTCAGGCCGTCGGTCCGGATGGGCAGGTGGTCCCTCAGCAGTGGTTGGCGCATGCTGGCGCACACAACAGCGCCCAACGTCCACTCCGATGACCGGCGCCGCCTGGACCTCGTAGTCTACGGAGCGACGCCTTTCGGCGGGCCGTTTGCTGCGACGCCACGCTCGTGTCGCCACTGACGCGCACAGGCTTGCCTCAGCGCTGCGCTGCCGCACAAGACGGAGCCGCCTTGCTGCATGGCGGCTCCGAGATCTTCTCCGAGTCCGTGCCCAGAGAGCTCCGCCAGCTGTGCGACGCGCCGCTTCGCTGGCATGGGCAAGAAGCTGGTCGTCGTGAGCGTCGCTTCCTGCCAGAAAATAAACATACAAGACAAAACAACATCCGCGGCGCAAGTCTAGCAACAATTGTGTTCATGCCTGTCTTTTATTCTGTGCAATTTCCACGGCAATTGACGGCAGCAAATGTTTCGAACTAGCACGCACGTCCAAATTACA